AACCCCCAAAGATCTCCTTCAGAGTCATTATCAATGACTTTCAATGACTCCTGTGCTAAACATGACCAAACTACCCTGTCATATTGTCACTAACGCCTGTTTTGTAAACACACGTACAAAGGCTTTGGGTGTTTTCACAAAAGTAATGTGATGACTCTTTTTCCTGCGTCTCTCACTGATAGTCACACATTTGGGCAACGGCAGTGAACCAAACTGTCGCCTGGGTTGCTACGGGTGACTGCAGAGCTGACTTTTGGGCTCCGAGGCAAATGAGCACATGACAGATTAGTGTGTGGGCCTCCTCCAGGCTTCCACCTCTGTGACCCTCAGGAGCCCCCTCTTTACCCCCTCCTCACCCTTGCTCCTACCCCTAAATCCCCCCCCCGTCCTTCTGCTTTGTCTCCACCTTCTCTTCATCCAAACACACAACAAGCAAAGAAAGTAAAAAGCTTCTTGAGACTTTTTATGGCTTTAAAAAGTACATTTTTCAAAAATCAACAATGTGATGTGAACTAACTATCTAAGCATGATTTTTTTTTCATAAATATAGTGTGCTATGTATACTGCGAACAAAACGTGAGAGCAGCAACTATGGAATAAACAGCTTTCAGCAGTTCAGTGTAAAAGGAGAAAGGGCTTGGGTATTTCAAAGTGTTTGCAGATGTGTGTCTCCACCAGTTAAATGCTACTTGTACTGGAGCAACACACAAGGATTAGAAGGACTAGAGGAGCTTAAACAAAACTGGGGTTCCAACAGAGCTCACTGTTTAGTCTACTCAAACAACATGCCCTCTCTTTTTGAGGGATGGACTTGTACACTTGTTTATCGTATGGGACAAACATCCGTTGCCAGGGTTTGGCCTTGCATGTGCCTATGTCTTGTGAATGACCCTAGCTGGCTCTTTTATAAGCGTCTATAAAGGGCGGTTGAGAGAGCGGCTAGGAGGGCTCGACCTGACGATGACACCCTGTTGTCATGGAGACTAATGCTATGTTGGGCAGTGTAGGTGGGTGGGGGTGGGGGGGGGGCACTGTCACTAGTGTCTAATGATGTTTGCGGCACTCATCTCCTCACAAAGTGTGATGTGTCCGCACTGTGGTTAACGCCTGTATTAACAGGGCATCTTTTGAGCTGGCTGTAATCATTTAAGATATATTTTCATTCTGTCAAAGCATTACACAAACTGTTTTAATACTATGGATGTGGCAAAACGATGGAGCATTGTACTAATACAAATATCTGAACATTCATCTAATACCACATGAACGTTTCCTATCTGAACTCAGTTCTGCTGCTCACAGTCCAAGGTCTTTCCAAATGACCAAGGGATATATCACTTCCCTTTCAAGGAGCCCAGGGGACCAATACACCTGGCTTAGCAGCTTAACAGAATTTCCCCAAACACCCAGGCCAAAGGGTGGCCCGACACAAAACCTGAGACGCTTGATGCTTGAGAGGGCTACCTCTTTACTCATCTGACTGACCACTCTCCCCCTCTCGCTCAATCCTTCCCTCCCTCCCTTTTTTTAAGCTAACACATACACACGTGTGGCAACCCTCAAATGGCCTGGCTTGCTCCTGAGGTCCCCTATTTATTTTCATAGGTGTTTGAGGGTTTACACTAGTCAAAAGACAAGGCCAGAGCCCAGAGTGGTATCTTTGTATCTGAGTGCTTCCTGTTTTCATTGCGTGGCCGACCCTTGTCTTTACAGGGGTGAGTAAGGGCTAGCAGGGGGCTAGCAGGGGGTGAGAGGAAAGGAAGGCCAGGGGCACCAAGGGGCTAATTGTAGATTTTAGAGTTTTCTTTGGCCCAAAAAGGGGCATCACCTAGTGTAATATAAGAACAATTCCCATCACAGCCTCTATACTTCTCTCCCTTACACACAATTGTTTCTCTTCTTCTATCTTACATTCCCTCTATCTGCCTACCCTCTTATGAATTGTGTAGTCCAATGCTTTTGAAGTGCAGTATAACATTTTACCCCTTACAGGGAAGTTTACCTTTCTGATAACATAATCTCCCTGTAGTATTGAAAAGCTTATACCAACAGTCTGGGATTTTCCTTCCCCTAATGTGGCTGGAAGACATCCAGAAACTCGTAGGGAGGGAGAGGGGTATTAGAGAAGGAAAGAGTGGGAGGGAGGATGGAAGGTGGGAGTGGAGAGACAGTCTGACCGTCTTCTGCCAGCTAACACCAGCTGATCTGTCCTGCCGTTTGCCAATTACATATGGGGCATTTAAGGTTGCCAGCTCACGTGCTTTCAACAACATGTGCATATGGGCTCAGTCTGAAAGAGCTTAGAGATATATCAATCCCTGTACACACTCACCGTGGAGTCTTTGCACATTTCTGTTCTGTTTGGCAACAAAAACGGTATGTTTCCCTAGAACGTTAGCATGGTAGGGATGTTGGCAACCTGCTATATGTGACTGTCGTGAAGAAAAGCATCTTGTGATTTCTCCCAAGAGAGTGTGAGGTCAGAGTGAAGCAAAGGAGGGTGGGAGGGGAGAGGGAGAGGGCAATTTTGTTATACTGAATCCAAAAGCCAACAGTTGTTACTATTGGCCTGTGTTGTTTTTTCGGTGTGTGAGGGGGGGGTCCAGTCCTTTTGAGCTTTTCAGAAGATGTGACAATAGCTGGATGTTGAGAACATATGTAGAGAGACCCCTGTGGCTCATAGAAGAGGAGCTCCATGCTGGCCCCGCAGTTTGAGGAAAATACAAGGCCGCTCCTTTCACTCCTCACCCCTCAGTTAATGAATGCATGAATGGCAGAATGCCGCTATAGGCCATTCAGGGGCCAAAGTCCCCAAGAATTCACCCTTGCACAAACGCATCCAGCAAAGGCAAATACATTTGCTTAACAAATTAAAAGAAAGGAGAATGGCTAATGGGTGTGTGTGTGTGTGAGGGAGAGAGAGTTTATTGGTGGGAGAATTGGATGGTGAGAAGGGGGATAATTCAATTAGTCCTCTTCCTCAGTAGAGAAATGAAGGCAGGTTAAAAGGGAGGGATTATTATTTGTACAAGACTGGCCAGGGCTTTACACAAAAGAAACAAATAAAGATTGGAGAGAACATCTACAAGCAGGGGATGGGATAAAGGAGAGAGGGACAGAGAGCGCATTGAAAGCTCTGCTCTGTCTGAATTAACCAGCGCTCTGAAAAAATGTGCCTGTGCCCAACATAGGGCTCTCATTCCCCCTCCTTTGCTTTCCACTCTTTCAATTGAGTTTTAAAACAATTCTAAAGATAATCGTTGGCGACTCTTCCAAAAGCTCTGTATGCTTCATTATATCGGGAGCACTGAAGCAGTTTGAGGCCTTTGCCAGGACAGATGCTAAATAATTACTTTTTTAGTCTTAATTCAAGTTAGGTTTACAGTAAAACATACAGTAATATCTGCTTTAATAAAAACTTTGCCAATGTTGTTTGTCCCTTTAGAGCACAAACAAGGCATCGTTCCTTCAAAATGATAAAAAGGAAATGACCTAAAGCAAAAACAAAGCAGAAGCAAATAAAGCAAAACATTTTAGAGGAGTTGATCCTGCCTCCGGCCCTCAGCCACTGAATGGTATGAACGGTTTGGTGAGAGGTCTCCAGTCAGGGAGCGATGAAGCTGTGAACAGCTGTGAAGTCATTTTGATAATGATGAGAATAATAAGCATGCAGACTAGCGTGGTGGAGCCGCTAAGGCCTGCGAGGCTCAGGGCTTTGCTGTTGCAGCTTCACTGCTCCTGAATAGATAAAAGTGATTAAAGCACTCCTGATTATCCCGGACCAATATGTAATGGATTACAGGCCTTTCAATTAGGCCGTATTTGCTGGCCACACATTACTTGGGCTTTTGGTTAGGTAATCAGGGTACAGGGGCTTTGGGCAGGTGGCTGGGCATTGGTAAAGAGGGGGGGTACAGAGTGCACAAGGGCCTCTTACATGTGTGGATGATCCATAAGACTGAACCTCTAAACCAAGTCTCCTTTACTCTCTCTTATTGTACTTCTCCCTCCCCCCTACACGGTCCCCTCCATCTCTGGGACAGGGAGCCACGTGCTCCGAGAGCAGCTTATGTGTCCTGGTGAGGCCACCTCCTTCTGAAATCTGACCTGTGTTGCAAAATCAATACTGCCTGATGTTCTGATAATGTCCTGACATTAGTGAGGGTGGGGGGACATGTGGTTCATCCCCTTTTACATGACACACACAGACAGACGGAGAAACAGACTGACACACACATAAATGGCTAGGCAGGAGAACAAAAATAAGGATGTACCTCCAACACGAGCTATAATGTCCCAAAGTAAAGAGGATTATAACAACTGACCAAGAGATAATAGATTAAGTCTTTGCTCATTTCAAATAAAAAAAGAAAACATTATTTTGGTGTTGGTCTGTATACAATGTGTACCCATAAACCTCTACAAATCTAGACTTACTTATAGTAGTTAGTGTAAAAACAAATATGTATGTTTGATTTCAATTTCCATTTGTACTTGACCTGAATCTTGACATACGTTTACACTCACAATAGTGTAATAGCAGTGGCTACCATTGCTCTTAATCTGCCCCAGAAAAAACATCTCATATTGGAGTAAATGTCTTGGATTGTTGGTCCCTCTCCCTCTTACTCAGAGTGTGCTGAGCAGGGTAAACAGTCCAAACTGATTAGATTGACCTGGTCACTGTGTCCCTGTGACAGGTGGCTGACAGGTGAGCATCACAGCTCAGCCGTCACTCAGTCCCTCAGTAACGACTATGTGACAGGTGTGTGTCTGTGTGTATGTGTATGTGTGTGTGTGTGTGTGGGTGTGTGTATGTGGGTGTGTGTGTGTGTGTGTGTGGTGTGTGTGTGTGTGTGTGTGTGTGTGTGTGTGTGTGTGTGTGTGTGTGTGTGTGTGTGTGTGTGTGTGTGTGTGTGTGTGTGTGTGTGTGTGTGCTTATAGCTGGGTTGCTTTCTTACATGTGCATCTCCCTAAAAAAAGATAATGGCTGTGCTTACCGTGAGATGCTGGAACAGCCACGCCCTCATGATGTTAGTGGCCACCTTGGGAAAAATGCCACGCTTTTTCTGCCTCTTCTTATCCTTGTCCGGATCATCGTCATCTCCTGTGCCGGGCGATGCAACGCTGTTGTCTAAGCCATCTCCTAGACAGAAACCCAACCAGGGGTTAAATAACATCCCACTACAACACTGGCTCAGAATACAGTTTTTAAAGAAAATCCTGATCTCAAAATTCTCAGAGCTACAGACACTCAAAGCTGAGTTTAAGGCTTATGAAAAATGGATAAACGGACAAATACCAGAGATATATAGGATTTCAAAAGAACTGAGGGGTAGAGGATCGCCAAAGCAAAGCCAGTGTTGTGTAGTGAAGATATGGAGGTAGGGGGATTTAGATGGCCTTAGAGGAAGGTCTGTACAGTGAGTGAGGGGTTTACACAGAGGCCTAGCAGAGTTGTTGTATGCCCCAGAGCACGGGAGAGGGGAATAGGGGTTAATGACGGTAATGTTATGGTTGGACGCTGAAACACTAGGTCCCTCACTCAGTTCTACAGTAGGAGGAGGAGGAAAGAGAAAAAAATGGAGCCAGAGGACAAAAAAAAGGACAAGGAGCCTTCAAGTACGGTAGGGGCCTCGGACTCATGTCATTAATTCAATTACATTTGCATGCTTGACATAATGTAGAGCATTTTCTTCTTCATCTTTTGAAGGGAGCCAAAGGGGACAGGACGAGGACGGAGACATATACAGTACTACACAGACATTCATAAATTCATGTTGCGTGCACAGACACACTCACATACAAACAAAACTCATAGGAGTTGATCATTCACGTAAAGTAGGGATGTGATTTGGGGTGGTTCATTGTTGCACTTCGATGCACATAATGGACTTGTCTGCCTCCCCCACCCCACCCCGAGCCCCAACTCTAGTTAGTTAGTCCTCCTCTCCCACTCCCTTTCCTCGCAGCAACCCCTCCCCTAGGTGATTCCGCCACAAGATTAGCATGACAGGCCAGCGGCGGCTTCGCCTGCATTAACGTCCGTCAGCGTTTGATTTAAAAAAGAAAACATGCACATAACCAAGGCACGATTTCTCTTTTAAACCGAAGTTTCCATCTTTGTTCTTTGCCTTTTTCTTGTTCCTCTTCCTCGGCATTAATTGTGCATTAGCAAAAATGATTTACTTTTAACAGTCATAGTTATTTTTTCTTGCCCCCGGGCACAAATGCCTTGAAAGCCTTCCTTGAGGGCATCTAAATTATGTATCTGAAAAACTCCTCCACTAAGACAGCGAAGGACCCTGACATTCTCAAAATTCAGACTTGCATGTCCTCCTGTTTTTGGGGAGGCATCAATCATAACCACCTATACAAGCCTTAATCTCGCATAAATATTTGAACTAATGACATTAAAAAGGGGGAAAGAAAAAGGATCCGACTGGTGGCGTAATCAAATGCAAAATAAATGAAGAATACAAGGACAGCAGGGGCCCTCGCTTCAGACTACTTTTCCACTTCTTCTTCCTCTCCCTTGTTTTTCCCACTTTTCCCTCCCTCTCTCTCTGTCTCTCTTTCTTTTCTTTCAGTGCACAGTGTTTTCCTTCCACATCATTAGCGCAGAGCCACCCGAAAGAGGAAAACAGAGAAGTGCCGACTTTGCGCTCCCTGTGTGAAGTTAAAGAAGCAACAGCCCCTCTGAAAGACATATGGGAATGGGGACACAGACTAGGGGTGTTGTAATTGTAGAATGGGCATTCATTAGTGGCAAATGCCGTAAATCCCAGGCTAAGTACGAATCCGTGTTCAGGAAAGCCTAAAACAATAAACTTTGGTCTGGCCATAGCCCTACCCTGACTGCGAGGGGCTTCCTGAGAAATGCGAGCCAGACGGAAGTCAAGTCTTACTCCCCCAGTTTGCTTCCAAACTTCAATAACAACAACTAGTGAGCTGTGAATTTGAACCACCCTCCCCTTGTTTCTGTGCTTTGAGCTTCACTGAATAATGTTGATACACAGTTTGGTTGTTTGTTTGTTGCCGCTAGGTTTTGTGTTGTTTTTTTAGCTAGTCTCTGAATCCCTCTCCCGCTGTGAGCAGTCAGGCTCATCCAATGGAACCACACAGTGGCCAAAAGGCTAGCAGATTAATTTTATTGACGTTTCCATTTTCACTGCAATGCGATAGCCTCCCCCCTGGCCAGGGCCTGAGCGACCTGTGCGTATTTACAGACTGACCTGTCACTTCATTACCCAGCATGCTCGCTGCCTCCTGCCCTAGCCCGCAAGGGTGAAACCGGACTCCAAGGCTTTCAGCTACTCTCTCCCTCTGTCTTTCTCTCACATGCACATGGATACTGTCAAGTGTGCGCAGATCAGACATGTGGCGTTCAAGCACAAACGTTGTACTCAGTATTGATAGGGTCTTTGAACAAAAATATACATGCAGAAATGTGTGTATTCAAAATATAGGAAGATCAAATGTGGACAGAAGGTGAAAAGAAAAAAAGAAGGACAGAAGAGGAACATGAAGAAGGAAAGTGAAGGAAAGAAGGAGTAGAAAAAGAATAAAGAAGACCCAACTTGCACAACCTCATTACATCTAAAGGAGAGCTGGTGCTTTGCATCCACCCCCACTCCTTTCTTATGAACGAGAGAAGGAACGCTGCAGGGCAAATTGTCCCAAACGCTAATGGCTTCTGACTGTTCCCTGGCAACTCTGCCATTCTAACCTGTGTGGATGTGCACTCTGAAAAAAAATGGGGAAAGAAAAAAAAAAGTGCAGGGCAGAGCAAGCAGGGGGAAGCGTCCCATCATCTGGCCATGTGACACAGATGGGGGTTGGCTATTAGGAGGCAGCCGAAAGGCCTAGGGGAGCCGAGGTGCTGGAGTGTAGCCCCAGGCACTTTTGGAAAAGCAGCGCCCTTGGAGACGGAAAAAAGAAAGCCCCCCCCTTCTCTCCCACTCTTTCCCCAGTCTCTGTCTGTCTTCCCTCAGTCTTTCCTCCTCTCTCCTTCTCCCTTACCCACTCTATCAAAAATGTTGACCTAAAGTGCTTGCAATGAAAGTTTGTGCCTATTTTTATTCGCACGGAAATCGAGAAGGTGTAATCAGGCAAGATGGAAGACAATGACCGGACGCAATGAGGGCAAGAGTGAATGAAAACACTCGAAAACAAACAAGCACCAAGTCCAAGAGCGCATTACACTCACATACATTCCCTCTCTCATCACCAGTGGGTGGTTATTAAAAATGCATTCAGATATATCGCCCTGTGAGTAAATTGGTCTCAGGGCTGAGCTCATTAACGGGTTGGGAAAGGACTGTAAACACACTGCAACTCTGCTTATCTAATGTTGGCACATTCAGGGTCGCTTCAGGATGCCTTGCTTTAGCACAGTGTGTCTGCGGAAAGTAAGAGGTCATTTGGGGGAGTCCTAATGACTCTAGAGATCATGCTTCACGTCTACAAGCCACCCTGCCCCTCGGGGAGCCACTGAGGTCAGTCAGGCCTGGAAGCGTTATGGATATGGCCGTGAGTAAAGCATATTGCGGGTCTATCAGAACGCCCTCCCTTTGCTGCTCTACCATTCCGATAAATTCATGCATGAATGAATAATGACTTGTCAATAGTTGGAGAACATTCAAACCCAGTCATGGTTAGTTATCAAATAACACCCCAGATGTGTTGGTCCCTGTACAATAAGAACATCTACTGAAAAGCCTCTAGACAAGCTTTAGATGTTGTGTGTGTATTATTTTAAAGGCTGTGCAGCGATTTTGCACTGGGAGGCTCCGGCATTTGTTTCAGGGTAATGAAGCAAGAGTGTAGAAGCAGTGGCTTATGGAAGCTGTGGTTAAAGCGACTAATTACAACAGACCCCCCACAACCCCTGTCAGCCCAAACTAGTCAGGCATGTTCACCCGAGCTCACCCAAATGAAGAGGAGAGACCAACTCATGAGGGTAGTAAGAAGGAAAGAGGAGTGGAAGGAGAACAGAAGCTAAGAGGCTCCTTTGGCCTTCTCTACCTTAGCACCACTGTGACCCTCCAACCCTCCCTCCTACACCCTCCTCTTACACCACCTCTAGCCCTGCAGGCTTGGCCTCAGAGAATGAAGAGAAAAGAAGAAGGGGATTTAGAGCCTCCCTTTTCCCTCTTTTTCTCCTCAACTTTTCAGCCAACATAAGCGGCGTTTAGCACATTCAGTCCCCCAAATGGCAGCGAATGAGAGAAGCAGTGGGGGCTCCTCTTTTGTCCGTCTGGTTACCTCTTTTATTTACTCTGGATTTACGAAGGGGTCTTTGCCGGCTCTGGGACCACATGCTCTTGACGCACACACACAATCTCTCTCACATACACACATACACAAACACGTAGAGGCTCTATTCACACCAGCGGAATGGCCAGCCCTCTGTGCTGACGGGGGATTACAGGTCTTCTGGCTATAACCGCATGCTAGCAATATACTCCTCACTCACGTAACATGCAAAACAGACGAGTGCTAACGAGTAGAACATAATCCCTTTAATGATAAAACACACACTTGAGCGTCCAATTTCTAACAGTAAGTAACACATCGGTGTGACCACACACCATATGGTTTACTGCGCTCATTCAGATCCATACAGTAGATGAGGGCTCTAAACGGAACTCTTTTAGTGGGGCTGCACCACTGCAGCTAGTGTTTTACGCTGATTATTTCCTGATCTGTGCTTAAACAAGCAGCAGCCCCTTGCACTGGACCATAAAACAACAGCTTAGTAAACAGCAAGCATGCTGACAAATTGGTAGCGCTCAGGCCGGAGTCATTAACAGCCCTAAAACCTGTCAGAGCAATTACAACAAACTCTCTCCTTCAGCAAGTCCCCCTGCCAAACTCAGATGTCACAACCCGCCTCCTCCTTACCACCCCCCTGATACCACCAGGACCCTGGCTAAAGGTGAAGCAGAGAGGACATTTTGCTCAATTCTTCAATAGCCATGACACCAGGGAGAAATGAGGACGAGGCTCCATCTCAAACACAGCTGTATCTGCATCCTGAGTGCAACGACTGAGTGGTTCCTTTTGCATGAGAAGTAATGCGTAGTTGTCTCCCCCAAAAACACATCATTAAGTGTTCCCTTAAATGAAGTGGAATAAGAGCTT